ACATTCGATCATCTGGAGTTGTTTCACGTACTTTAGAGCGAAGATAACAGACTTCAAAAATATAACGCAATACCGCAGCTTATGTCGGAATCAAATCAGGGCGGGCGTCAGCAACGTTGCCAGTGAGGGAGAAATGTGGGACGACGAAGATGCCCAGCCAAGCGCTTGCCGCTGCGCCACTTAAATGACAAGCGTCTGGCGGTAACAGGCCGCATGACCAGTGTGACGATATTTCAGCGGGAACATATGACGTGAATGGCGTTTTACGAAATGTTTTGAACGTTGACACACGCCATGCGTTCTGCGTTACAGTATTTTGGTGGGATATTTCACTTAGCTAGTGTTACATGATTTTGATGAGAAAATCTTGCTTGACCTGTGGTATACATCATTTTACGTTACGCGAATAGAGATAAAGTGATTGACGTAGCAACATGCCACATGTCAAGTTTTAATTGATTGGGCATCTTGCGAGTAGAGTAGCAAGAAGTATTCAGGTACATTTCGCTCGACTATAGCGTGAGAATTGAACGGGAACATTACAAGTTACTTGTGTTGCATTTTTCTAAGTACACGTTCTCCTTTTCATTTGTTTTCCTTCTGTCTAACTCTCTTTATTTCTCTCTTCATCTTTCCTTTTAGCTTCTTTTCTCCTTCCGTACTTGTTCGGTTACCCATGAGAGCCATTGCTCGCCACCCCAGAGAAATGGGTGCAGGAGTATTGGGAGTGAAACAGAAAATGAACCGGTCGAAAAGAATGAAATAATACATATTATTATTATTATTATTATTATTATTATTATTATTATTATTATTATTATTATTATTATTATTATTATTATTATTATTATTATTATTATTATTGTTGCTTCTTTACGCAAATACACAAAGATGCAGGAAATAAGAAGGAATGCATAAGTGCTGGAATCGAACCCAGGTGGTCTGCGTGGCATTCAGTTATTCTACTTCATAGCTACGCCCTCCTTTGAAGTTGCTTACGGAAAAGCCCCAATAAAGGCGTTCTATCGCCGTGGCTTCAGTTGTGGATGCAGTGTTGGCTATCGGCCCGTGTAACTGAAATAAACAATTTATATCAACTTCTATGACTACCTTAGCTTGCGTCTAATGCTGCTCTGTAGATTAGGGGAAAGCATTCCTTGTTATTGGCATACCAGCAAACGCTGGCTTGTGGTGAAGTACAACATCTGTGCTGTCACATGAGAAAACCCATGCTATATATGAAGGGTACTACCCCGTGGACATCTGCACAGTCGAGTTGATGTGCTGGGTAAACCCACTATAACGCTCATGGCTAGGAAAAACAATCGCAGAAGAGACTCATTCCTCCTTCCAACTTGGTTTTCCTTAAATAAGTACTTTCCTCCATGAGCCACACATTTCAGCAAATGCATCTCTCCCACTCTGCACACACACACACACACACACACACACACAAACTCGCTAAGTGATTTCCCCAGATACAGGCATAACTCCTCACAGTGCACAATTAGGTCACTCCTACTGGCAGCACATAGTTTAAACCAATATAAAAATGCGCTATATACCACTACTCGCTCAGTGCTTCACATGCCTTTACGACCAGATTGTGTGATACCGTTAAAAAAGTACATCTGTGTTCCTTCCTCCTGTGCAGTTACACTTCTTCTCACGAGGCTTATGCTGTCCCCTAGAACAGCGACCTTTTATAGTACACTACACCGGCAGAGGGCCAGAAAAAGTAGATTTGCTGCAAAACCCCTCACGTTTACGGTACGCCATAATGCTAAGTGTGTGCGCAGACCTGTGGGCATTAGAATTTGGACAATGCAAGGCTAATCGTTTACTAGATGTATGCATGCATGTCCTGCTGGCTGCGGTTATTTTCTTATTTGGAAGCGAAATCGCGAGTTCCTCTCAGTACACCTAAGTTGTTCTCTAGCGGCTAGACCATGGATCTTGGCGGGGGCATGTCTGAAGCACCGTTCGGGGAGCTGATTTCGTTGTAGCTATGAACGAACTACTTTTGCCAGGTAAGTTGCTCAGGATTCATACAGAGTTTTCGGAACCAATACGTTGTCATTTGTCTTGCTGGCTCAGCCCCGCCGTGGTGAGGTGCTCGGCTGCTGACCCGCAGGTCGCTGGATTGAATATCGGCAGTGGCGGCTGCATTTCCAATGGAGGCGGAAAAGTTGTAGGCCCGTGTGCTCAGAATTGGGTGTACGTGAAAGAACTTCAAATGGTTGAAATTTCCGAACCCTTCCACTACGCCGTCTTTAATAATCATACGGCGGTTTTAAGACTTTAAACGTAACATATCAATCAATATCTTGCTGGCTCACACAATAATTTGCACTGAAAATTGCATTATTGCGTGGACACATTTAAGATCAGTGTCGCAGATGTACCTCTGTGAACGAACCGCTCTACTTTTCATAAAGGTATCAAGGACGCAAAAAACGCGTACCTTACCACTGAAGAGTGGATGACGTGCCCTTTTGGTGTCACCACTTATTGAATGCGCGGTTAGCCTTATAGCTGCACCGAATGTAATTGTCCCGTCAACTTGAAATTTCGCAACAGCATTCCACATTGATTGTGGTGTCTTTTTCTTGCCGCGAAAAATGCTGCCTTAGAAAAAAGGAGAACGAGGTTACGTAGTCTTTATACCTTTAGTCCAGCCGCAAGCCTCTAAAAGTGGTCTTGCGACGTCACATTTGCCATGTCTGCCCAATGTGCGACACATGCCGTTCAACGCCGCAGAAGACAGTGTGGCAGAAAGAAAATTTGCGCTGTGCTCAGGGTGTCAGCATTATGCTGTAAGAAAGTTTAATGATTCTTTAATGAGACCTAAATGAGCGAATTGCGATTGCGCTTGAAATGTTATTTTTATTATGGATCGACAGGGAAGTACTTACCATGAGTTGCGCTGCAGGCTTGCTACATCATCAGCTTGTGACAAGGCACATCGCACCGGCAGTCGAACTATACATTCAAACATTTACCCTAATTTGTCGATAAAT